TGGCGGTTGTTGGTGGAGGGCGGTTACAGGCGTAGCTGCCCGCTGAGGGGGGGCGAGCGCTGCCCGCTTTTGGTCTGAGGGAAAAAAGTCTCCAAAGGCGGTGTGTTGCCACTTGGGAGGGTGTAAGGCGACCCCCTGCCTTGTCTTAGCTGGTTAAAGCGCCCTTCCGGAGGGAGCTGTAGGAGCGTGACCACAAGCAGCTTTTCGGTGTGGCCTTCCAGGTAGCTCGATGAGGGGGGAGATTTGCCTTTTCCGTCCCCTCGGCGGTATTTAGGCGTGTAAGCGTGCAGAGGAGATAATGCCTGTTGTTTTTCAGAGTGCACTTACGTTACAGTGGAGAGCCGGTTACAGTGTCGTTGCTGCTGCAGTTCTGGTGCATGGGCTCACAGTGCCGGCGGTTTATTTAATCACTGACTTCATCTTGAAGAGCTCTGGTATTTTGCCAAGTCTTCATGGTATAGGGCAGAGTGCAAAACGCAGAGCTTTCCCGGTCCCAGAGGGTTCTCAGCATCTCTGAGACCAGAAGAAGCCTTCCAACAAGCACCGTGAAGGTCTTGCATTTATAGCTTGTTTCTATATTAAAACCACAACAGGCAAAGCAGGAAATAAAAATACCGTTGAAGTATAACATCACTGTGGGAGAATTGCAGATTTGGGGAGTGGGATATTCCTGGCAGGTGGATCCCAGTGCCCCCGGGGAGCTCTATTTCAATCAGCAGGGCTTTGGTTCCTGGGGAAGAGCTGTCCATACAGGGTAATTTTCAGGATCAATGCATAACTGTGGTCATTTCCAGACCTTTTGTGGTGTTCTCAACCATTCAGTTTTAATGCTTGTGGTGGGTTGACCCTGGCTGGATGCCAGGTGCCCACCAGAGCCGCTCTACCACTCCCCTCCTAAGCTGGACAGAGGAGATAAAATATAACGAAAGGCTCGTGAGTTGAGATAAGGACAGGGGGAGATCACTCAGCAATTACCATCACAGGCAAAACAGCCTCAACTTGGGGAAATCAGTTTGATTTATTACCAATCAAATCAGAGTAGGGTATAAAAACTAAATCTTAAATCACCTTCCCCCCACCCCTCCCTTCTTTTAGGCTCAAGTTCACTCCCGATTTTCCCTACTTCCTTCCCCACAGGGGAGTGCAAGGGACAGGGAATGGGGTTGGGGTCAGTTCATCACTCGCTGTCTCCCCAGGGGAGGACTCCTCACACTCCTCACTGCTCCAGCCTGGGGTCCCTCCCACGGCAGACAGTCCTCCATGCACTGCTCCAGTGAGGGTCCCTCCTTCCCACAGGGTGCAGTCCCTCAGGAGCAGACGGCTCCAGCGTGGGTCCCTGTGGGGTCACCAGCGCT